GTTTAACAGAAATACCATTTGTTCCTGTGGCTGGTGGAATGATAGCCCCCACACTTTTGGTTTAGCATTGGATAAAGAGGCGACTTAGGGAAACGGGGTAGAATAAGGTGTGTTCAACTGTCCTTTGTCAAATTCACTTGGATGAGCCAATAGCAATAGCACTTAGGCTTATAAACCACTCCATGGTGCTTTACATCCCTCTCTATGCGGTTTACAGAGTCAGCATATTGACCCCAACGATCTGGGTCCTCATTTTACCAACCTCGGAAGGATGGTAGGTTGAGTCAACTTTAAGCCCCATTAGGATCGAACACCAAACTGTGGGCAGAGTTAGCCTTCATGTATTGCATTCCAATCACTGTGCCACCAGGGCTCCTAAGCCCTCCTGAGCCATTGGCAGCAACTTTACAGGCATTACAAACATTCAAGCAGGCATTACAAACATTCATCTAAACAACCATACCTGCCTAATTACTCACCAGCAGGATTGGAGCTATCTGAATTCTGAAAACTCACACTACTTCCTTTCTTCAGACTCCCATCCTACAACACATAAATTGGGGGGGGGCACTGTTCCCCTGATACTGTCATTTTTTTTAATTTTTTTTTACTAAGGATTCTACTACTGGCCCCAAATTCTAGTGGAAAAAAAATCTGCTTCACTGGGCCCTGGCAGTTTTTATTATTCCTTCTACTATCTCTCCATGTCCCAAAAGAAAGCGTCTAGGCCAAGGGTCTTCAAACTTGGCCCTTTTATGACTTATGGATTTCAACTCCCAGAATTCCTCAGCCAGGCATGCTGAAGAATTCTGGGAGTTGAAGTCCACAAGTCATAAAAGGGCCAAGTTTGAAGACACCTGGTCTAGGCTGTGGAAAAGATGACAACATCACTGGTAGTGGCCAGATAGGGTATATCATCTGTGTAAAGCTCTTGAATTTTGAAGACTGGAATATCTGATCACTTTCAAGGAGACAAGGGAAATGGAGTTGACAGGTTGAGCTCACTCTAGTGAAATATGGATCAAGTATGTACACTGATGCATACAAGTATTTTGTAATGCTTGTACATTGGATCAATCAGACTACAGTACCAGCTTTTACATTCTGAAATATAATTAGTTAAGGTTTGGTTTGCTTCTGTTTTGTTTTGTTTTAACAAGTAAAAAATTACCAGAAGTTGCTTGTAAGCCTAGCTGCATTTTAATAGACAGCCTTATGCTTGAGCATGTTGGCAATTTGTTACCACAAGCTGATTCCAATGTTCCATAAATAAAATAGTAACATTGCCTGCTTATAAAATATAGTTATGGGGGGGGGGGAAGAATCTCGATCTAGGTCAAGTTAATGTTTTGGGTACCATTCCCTATGTACTCTATGATGAAAGTTAAAAAAGGAAAGAGATGAGCATATTCCCAATACATTTTTAATATAATCAGTGACCAATGTACTTCTGTGCTAACAAGCTAAAGACACTTATTTTCCTCTTGATCCAGTCACACTTGGGGGATTTAATCTGAATTAACTTGATAAGGATCACCCAGTATTTTGATTTACAACACCTATCCACTGTTAGAGAATGTTGTCTTGATGGTTTTATAAGAAATTAAATTTATTGTTAAATGAATAACAAATGCAGATGCTTCTTTCTATGCTTTCTTGGCTTACTAAGGCACAATGATAATACATATTATTTCTGCAGCAAACTCCCCGATAAATTCAATCTGACTTAAAATGAGTATGCAAAAGACAGCAGCAGATCAAATAAATACATCCACACTCGGAGACATATGTGTTCCTGCCATTCTATTACTATGTACAGTACAGTTCTGTTGAACTTTATTTCTATACAGTAATTGTATTTACAATACAATAAGCTTGAAATTACAAAAATCCTGTATACGGATCAGTGAAGCCACTTTAGTATCATTCTTATGCTATTCATAACCACAATGTCCAGCTATATTTTTCTCTTGAATTGCAATTAAAAAAAATCTATTTCCCAAACCAACCATTAAAGATGAATTTAATAATATTTATCCAACGAAATCTAATTTCCTATAATAATTTTCTTGTGGTTTTATTTGTAGATTGTTTCCATTTTTGAAGGATTCCATTATTTTCTATTTCCATGAGTGTATGCCGTCTGATTCAATGCTATGTTGACTGGTTATAGCTTTTCAGAGGTTCAGACAGAGATTTTCCCAGCCCCAAATGTAGAGGTTAAAAACTGTATCTAATATATTTTGAACACAGAGCATGTACTCTACCCTTGGGCATTTATTCCATTCCATTGCTATGAAATCAATATTCCAGATAAATAAGGATTATTCTGATCAGTTCTTATTTAATCATTATACTATTGTGTTTGGTATCCAGCTCTTTCTGCCCTTAATACTATTGCTCCCAATGAATAAAATCATCCCATGTTTACTCATAACTTCTAATTGAAAAAAATAGAATAGGCAGAGCTAAGCACTCTGCAGCTCACTGAAATCAATGGCTTTATATGTATCTAATTAGATCTTCATGGGCTTGGAACTATAAAAGGCTGTTGTTCTGATTATTCTATAATATTTTACTCTGTGATTCATGGAGGTCATATAGCTGGATGCCAAGAGTAGCATTCTGGCCAGAAGCAATATTATTCCAATTTAAGTTCACTTAATTGAATTGCAGTCAAATCTGATTGCTCATGATAGGAAACAAGTTGTAGTTCAGATGACATTTAGATTAATTTTATTAGGTGAAAATTGCTACAAAATATGCTACATCCTTTATTGTTTAAACTTTAGAATAGACTGAAAGTTTCAGATGGCCAAATGTTTTTTAGATGCCATTCCCAATTCTATAAGCTTCAATAGTTTTGAAAAGTAGAAAATTTGTTCAGGGTTATTATTCCAATATCTTAGTAGTAACTCTCCTAACATTATCCTTTCCCTCCATTTCAATCAATGATAGACTCTAAAATATTTGATTTTCATTGGAAAAGACCATTCCAAGTTAATAATCTCAGAGGGTAAAAAAAGAAATAATATTTTTTTTCCTCTGGAAACTATACAAATCAAATTATACTTAAAATTCAGTCAGCTAGCATACATAAGAAGTTACAATTACTAAATACCAACATATAAAAAATTCAAAGGTTGAATGAAAACCTTAGTCTTCATACCTACGAATTATCTTTAGATAAAAGCTTTCCTTTTCTTCCTATTAGGTGTAATATAATTTATTCAAGCATTTAAAAATATAAGCAATAGGTAGGTTTATAGGGTACATTCATGTATTCCTTTGTACATTAAGTGTTTTATGTTGATTTTATTTACAAAGTGAATTGCTTAAGGACTAACAGCACATGTCCATTTGATGTTTTCTGGTGAGCACAAGTCATTTCCTTTGTGGTGCACAATTGCATATTCGGAGTTCACACTGATTGCATGTGAATGTTCTGTATATTTCTTATAAAATGCTACTTGCAGATTAAGTATTTTAGGAATATTTTTCCTTGTTATGAATTGTCTTACTCAATCACTTGTTGCTAAACAAAGAACACATAAAAGCATCCTTTTTTGTCTACAGATCCCATAAACTACCAGCAGAGGAAACAAGCATATATGTGAAAATGTATATTTACAAATTATTCATACCGCTAAGGCTATAAATCTTGCTATAAATCTTGACTGCAAATTATAGACTGAAAGGTCATTCAGAACAATATACAAGTGGCTTCCATTCAATAATTATTCTTTGGGGGGGCAAGTAAGGAGGAGAGAGAAACTGTATTGTGTTACAAGGATATATAACACTTCACTAAGAACCATTTGACCAATGACTTATAACTGTGCATATTGGTGTGTTATTCCCGAAAGCCTCTTTTCCTTGATCATCCCATCGCACATTGAAAAGGCAGGCATCTGAACTATATCCCAGAATGCTACTTTCGCCAAGCTTTCTAGGTACCAGTATAGTTATGACACAGTGGCCCATTCCATCAAAGGCCCACGAGATGATAAGCCTTGTTGTAATAGAGAAAAGACACACTGTCAAAACCCAGCGATGCAACCTAGTTGGAACCCAGTGATGCAAGTGACCTCTTCATTCCTGCCCTTTATCATTCATAAAGCAGCAACCTGGCTATTCCTGGAATTTCGTGAGAAAAGCTCTCTCAAGTCAGAGTGGTGGTCTCAAAAACATTTTCAGCAATGTCAGATTTTACGGAAGCAACCCAGAACCTTTAAGACCCCCTACCAGCCACTTTGGGTTTTACATTGAATGCAGTTGGCAAGAGGCATACTGAATCATCTTCTCTTCCCTGCGTTACCACGAACGGCTTCTTTTGCTTTTTCTTATCTTTTCCGTTCCTTTTTTGGGGGAGGGGAGGGGCGAAAGGGGAAAGTATATGGCTTTTAATAGTTCTATCTTCACTTCAAGGAAGGCTAATGCAGTCAAAGGTCCCTGTTTTAAGTAACAGAACAACGAAAACAGAAAGACATATGGAAAACGCTGACTTTTTCAAAAGTATAAATCCTGAAGCGAAGCCTACCTTACAGATTATATATTGCAGCAATTAAGTGTGGGCTGAACTTATCCTCCCCCCCCCCATGCACACACTTCCAGCATCACCTGTTAAGTTCTGCACTTTCTGCTAATATGCCTTTTCTCCAACCTGTCCCTGCAATCAAACTCTTCCATGCAATTCGGAAAGGTTTTTTGAAAACGCACACACACACACACAAGCCTTACTTGAAGGCATTACAGCTCATTGTTTGCATTGAAGAGGGGGGGGGGGATATGGTGCAAAGTGCCGGGGGAGGGGAGAGGGGGAGAGAGAGACACACAGAAAGCGGCTCTGTTGAAAATTAATGAGACGAAGGGCTAATTACGGCAGGTTTTTTTTTTTTTTCCCTTTCTTCTCCCTGAGACTTCCTGCCCTCTCAGCAGCATGGTATGGAAGCGAAGTATATGCCGAAGCGGGAGAGTAAGAATTGAGTCATCTGACTTACCGTATTGAAAAGTCTTGCTGTACTGCAGGCAGCATCCAGGCAGAGAGCATGAAGCCTCACGCGGATCGAGAAAGAGATGCCATCAATGAACGATGCAAATTCATGGTTGGGAAACGGAGGGGGAAAATTCAAGGCCAGCGACTGTACTGTGTATCCAAGGAAGGACCTGGTTAGTCACAGCTTTGACTAGCCTGCTACCCAGCTCTGCAAAACAACTAGACTGCAGCAGTGTGGTAAGCATAGGATTGCAATGCATGTCCCATATATTCAAGCATAACAGAAAACATGGTCTGGAGCTTTATTCCATGTGGATAAGAGGCTGGAGTGCTCAGGCAAGCAGGAAAGGGGGGGCTCTTTCTCCCCACAGATCCAAATCAGGAGGAGGCAAAATAGGAAAGCTGGCTTGCTGTAGAACAGGATGCCCAAGATACAAATTACATAAAGCAGGTGCCTCTGCCTTCTGTTTTCCAGATACATGCCTGTAATCACATTTCACAAATGAGCTCTATGTAGACAGGAGCCACCTCTTGTGATGATATCATTTGCTCTAGTCGCCATAAATGGGCAACTTCCTACCACACGTCACTACCACTGACAAAACAAATCTTGATCACTTTTGAGTGGGCAGGGTGGTGGATGGAGTCCCATCCACTAAGAGCAGCAGCAGCAGCTCCTAATGATGTGATACTATGAATCCTACATCATCACCAAAAGATGGGGGGGGAGGAAGAGACAGGATGGGAAAACTGGAGTGGGGGTGTGGGAGAAGAGGAAGGGAAAACTGACCTGCTAGAAGCGTGACAACGGAGCATCTACAAGGAAACTACATCAAAAGATGCTTTGGGCTTTGCTGAGCATTTTACAAAGCAGTGAGCAACAGTTTACGCTAAAATCAAGTCATCAAGTGTGAATTTGTGGCATTTGAGTTCCGCTCACTGACATTCTATAATTTTCTTTTAACCTTCTCAACAGAAAAAGATATCAGCGTTCCATCTACATTACCATTACATACCCCAAAGTGTACTAAGTCATTCCAGATACTTTTTTTTTTTTACTGTTTATTTCATCTAATGTTGGTCTCTTTTAGACCAATAATCCTAAATGTGGGCTTCCTGGAGCAAATGAGCAGCTATAAAAAGATACAAAGAAGGATTGTTTCAAGGATTGAGAGGGAATTTGCTTCCCATAATATTGCAACTTGGGCTGAAAATCATATGGCCAGTTAAGCCATTCCATATTAAAGAAAGTTAAAATAGTAATGTACCCCAAAGCCTATCCCTGAAGAATATTTGCCTTATTTATGTCAAATATTTGACTAGTCCTTGATTTGCTGCTTCTATGGTATCAAAATTACTTTTCATTTATCTGATCTAATCTTGCTGCTGAATTACACTTGCAAGTGTTAGAAGGGTCATTAGCAGTTCCCTATGTTAAATATGGAAGTGAATTCACATTCTATATGTTTATGTTTATCCCTCGATAGTTAACATCAAATGATAATTTGCCTGCATAAATCAACTCCCACTTTAAATACAATGTTTAAACTTAGTGTAGGTGGTATAAACTTTTAAAAGCAGCAACTCTGCAGTATCAGATATCATGCAATGTTCATGTAAATGCAAATTTGTCCTAATTCAAGCTATTTTCCAAGGCGCTTGAAGGCAAGACAAGAAGCAACAGGTGGAAACTAATCAAGGAGAGAAGCACCCTAGAACTAGGGAGAAACTTCCTGACAGTTAGAACAATTAATCAGTGGAACAACCTGCCTCCAGAAGAGGTGAATGCTCCAACACTGGAAGTTTTTAAGATTGAGACTGGACAGCCATTTGTCCGAGATGGTATAGGGTTTCCTGCCTGAGCAGGGGGTTGGACTAGATGAACTTATAAAATGTTAAAACATGTTGTTCCCTTAGGTTCTTCTGCTCAGGAATGCTGCAAAAAGCTTTTCTTTTTGGAAGGAAGGAAGCCTGCCAGCCAATCTGAGCATTTAAGTTATTCATATTTTAAGTAAGACTCCACAAAAGGTCTTTGATTTTTTCCCTCCTGAATAAAATGCTTCCAACTGTTGGGTTGAACATGTCAGTCTAGGGATATTTAATCCAAGAGGCTCAGAATCAGAAACAATTTTTGCTGTTTAGTCATTAAGCTGTGTCCAACTCTTCATGAGCCCATGGACCATAGCACACCAGATCTCCATCCTCCATTGTCTGCAGTTTGCCCAAATTCATGTTCATTGTGTCGATGGCACTATCTATCCACCTCATCCTCTGCTGTCCCCTTCTTCTTTTGCCTTCCATCTTTCCCAACATCAGGGTCTTTCCCAAGGAGTCCACTCTTCTCATTGGGTGGCCAAAGTATTTGAGCTTTAGCTTCAGTACCTGTCTTTCAAAAAAAAAAAAAAAAACAGGGTTGATTCCCTTTAGGATCAGCTAATTTGATCTCTTGCAGACCAAGGGACCCTGAAGAGTCTTCTCCAGTCACAAACAATGACATCCCTTATATATAGAAACTTCAATTAAGGATTGCTTATCCCTGAATGTCTCCCACCAATATGGCGAGGATAAGCAGAACAGGCACCTTTTGGCCCTAAAAGATTTCTTCATTCCAACAAATTCCAGCCATTCCAGAAACTGACTAGTCTGGCCCTTTTTTCAACATTAAGAATGGGACAGCATCTTCTATTATCTTCCAGGCAAAAAAAATCATCTTCTCTCAGAGATGGTTTTGGGGTTAGGTGCCACTGTAAGTAACTGATGCTTTATCCTGCCTCTCTTCCTGTGCCACCCTCAGGTGAAGGTATCTCATATATCCCACGGCTAGTAAAAGATTCAGTTGATTGAAAGGAAATGACATTTTAAATACAGGAGGTCCTCGATTACAACCATTCATTTACTAACTGTTTGAAGTTACGATGGCACTGAAAAAAGTGACCCTTTCAGTGTCGTTATGACCACTTTTCACACTTAACGACCATTGCAGCATCCTCATGGTCAAATGATCAAAGTTCATCTGCTTGGCAACTGACTCGTATTTATGATGGTCACAGTGTCCCGGGGGTCACATGATCACCTTTTGTGACCTTCCAACAAGCAAAGTCAATGAGGAAGCCAGGCTCAATTAACCATCGTGTTACTAACTTAACAACTGCAATGATTCAGTCAACAACAGTGGCAAAAAAAAAAGTCGTAAAATTGGGCAAAACTTATTGTCTTGCTTAGGAATGGAAATTTGGGGCTCAATTGTGGTCATAAGTCAAGGATTACCAGTACTTATTCAAAGATTTTGTAACGTCTTTTACTAATAGCCTATTCACTTAAAATATTTTTATATGTAGATGAATCGTATTATGTTCCATCAGTTGTATGGGCTTGCCTGATTATTAATTTCCAGTCTTCTGTCTTAATTATTTCTCTGCATACTGTTTTACTGAGATGGTAAACTATGTTTAACATCTTGGTATATATGAACTGGTGTATATGAACTGGTATATATGAACTGGAATATATACCTTGGTATATATGAACTGGAATGAAAAATTATAGCACTCTATCTATCTCTTTGCCTAGGTTAAACCATCCTCAGTCTTACCATTCTGGGCTGCTTTAGAGATACTCAATCTGGACAAGGAGAAGAATATTCGGACAAACGACTGTCCAGTCTCTTCTTAAAAGCCTCCAGTGATGGAGCACCCACAACATTTGAAGGCACGTTGTTCCACTGGTTGATTATTCTCACTGTCAGGAAATTTCTTCTTAGTTCTTGGCTGCTTCTTTCCTTGATTAGTTTCCATTCGTTGCTTCTTGTCCTGCCTTCAGGCGCTTTGGAAAATAGCTTGACTCCCTCTTCTTTGTGGCAGCCCCTGAGATATTGGAACACTGCTATCGTGTCACCCCTAGTCCTTCTTTTTATAGTCCTTGGGTAACCTAAGGGCAGGTGGCAATAATGGAGGCATTTATCTGAGACATTTTTAGGAGGAAATAAAGGGTGATAATCTTAACCTTTTAGCATGTACAGAATGGATTATATGAAATTGCTATTGGTAGGAAAGGTTAAGAGGAGAAGAAAATCAAAAGGCATCTTATACCAAAGTGCCACTGAAGGATAAAGGAAGATTGGAAAGCTGCTCATGCTATCATTGGTATAACCCAATGTTTATACATTTGAAACATCTTACATCCATTATCAAACTAATTTTGTTCCAGTACTAGCCAAACTCTTTCTTATCAACACTGAAAGAAATCTGACAATATTCTATTATTTTTAACCCTGTCCCTTGCAGATGATCTATATCTATTGAAAAAGTACAGTGATAATTTTTAGGATTCTAATGCTCCATTCACAGCAGTGTTAATAAGGGTGCAGTTCATTAAACTGAATTACACAAGTCAGGATCACTAGAACCAAGCTATATCGCCAGAGCTAGAGATCGGGTGCTATAGCAATAGCAAATGATCTTAAAACATTGCAAATAAAATAGCTATTGTGAAATTATATGGACAGATCTATTGATTGTATATACCCCAAAACGTATCAGTCAATACAGTAGTGATAACAATTTATATAATAAGTTTTCTTAATACTCATGAAAGAATCATTTCTCTTTTGATACAAAGTCCACTTCAAACATCAACAATTATATGACTTTTCAGGCCAGATGCTCTTTGTTCTAGGGATTTCTTGATTAGGTTTGTTAATCAATGCTAAATATAACAGCAGTGAAGAGACATGAAATTTGTTGGGACCAGAGAGAATATCACAAGCCCTTGCCCTTCTGTATTCCAACATGTTATTCAGACCAATAAGCAATTCACTAATTCTTCAGTTTTTCAGCTAGAGTTATGAAGAAACTGAAGGAGCGATCCATTTATTCTAACTTATAAGTAAGTTGCCATTCCTTCTAGCAGGAGTATCGTTCATGGTATATAGTGAGGTATAAGTTATCTGCACTCTTTCATGTTTAGAAATAAACCAGTCACTTTATTTGTACTCTGTGTCACAGGGAAGAAGCTTATATTTAAATAAAAAAAACTAAAAATCCATTTTTTTAA